GGGAATTTGTCAGTATCTAACAAAATTTCAAAAGCACTTACCCTTTGACCCAACCATTCCACTACTGGGAATTTCCTCTGAAGATACACTTCCAACAATACAAAATATACATGTACAAGATTATGCGTTGCTACATTGTGGTTGAGAATATTGAAACAACTCAAGTGTCCATATGTAAGAGAGTAACTGAATAAACCATGGCATATCCATGTGATGTATTATTCAGTTGTAAAAAAGAATAAGGAAGATCTCTGAATTCATACAAAATTATTTCCAGGATATATTAAGTGCAAAAAGCAAAGTGCAAAAAATGTGTAATGTGCTACTTTTTGTGTAAGAAGAGAGAGTATAAGAAAATATACATGTATGTGCTCATTTGTATGAAATAAGGAAAGATGAGCCAGAAACTAATCAGTTATCTACAGAGGGACGTAGGAATATAGTGGAAAGAAGGTGGAAATGATAATAGTATAAAGAATGAGGGAGGGACACATCTGAGTATATCTTTTTGTATAACTCTGACTCTTAGACCTGTAATAATGTTCTTCATATCCAAAACATGACTAAAATGAACCAGGAGATGAGGGAAATTCAATATGGAATACAAACAACAAAAAATCTAATTCTGTTTCAAATGAGTAATACAACCACACTGAAAAGGGTGAAGAAATAAGTTACAGTATTTTGATGGGATACTATATAAAGCTAAGGATAAAATGTAAAAAAAAAAAATAGAAATTAAACAAATATGAAAAGAAAACAGGTTAAAAATCCAGAGGTAATAAAAGATTGATACATTTATTTACATAAAAATAAATGCTTCTTAAGAAGACAAGCATATATCACAGACAAAGGGTTAATATTTTCTTAATATACATTGTGCTCTTGGTGTTGTATCTAAGAAATCTTTGCCTAACCTGAGGTCACCAAATTTTTCTCCTGTTTTCCTCTAAAAGTTTTATAGTTCTAAGTTTTACATTTAGGTCTAAGGTCCATTTTGAGTTGATTTTTTTTATATATGATAAGTATGGATCTGATTTTTTTTTTTAATGTGGATAGCCAACTTTTGCAGTACTATTTTTTAAAAAGGTGATCTTTTCTCCATTACTTTGCCTCTGTATCTTTCTTAAAAATCTGTTGCCCCATATGAGTAGAGTTTATTTCTGGACTGTCTATTCTGGCCCATTGATCTATTTGTCTATCTTGGCACCAATACCATGTAGTTTTGATTACTATAACTTTGTTATAATTCTTGAAATCAGTGTTAGCCTTCCAACTTTGTTCTTCTTTTTCAAAGGTGTTTTGGCTATTCTAGGTCTTTTACATTTCCATATGAATTTTCAAATAGGCTGGTCAATTTATATTCATAAAGAGCCTATGAATTAGGCAGGAATTGACATTTTAGCTATAATGAGTCTTCTGAGCCACGAACAAGGTGTATCTCTCCATTTATTTAGGTCTTAATTTCTTTTAGCAACATATTATACAGTCTTTAGTGTACAAGTGTTTCATATCTTTCATCAGATATATCCCCAATTATTGCATATTTTTGATGCTATTGTAAGTGTACATCCTGATTGTTCTCAGCTAATATAAATACAATTGGATTGTGTATATTGACTTTGTATCCTGAAGCTTTGTAAATGCAATTATAGTAGTTTTGTAGATTCCATTGGATTTTCTACATTGATAATCATGTCATTTTCATATGAAAACAGTTTTACTTCCTTTCCAATCTGGATGCTTTTTGTTTCTTTTCCTTGCCTAATTTCACTGTCTAGGAATCTTGTACAATATTAAATAGAAGTAGTGAGTGGACATCTCTATTTCGTTTCTGATCTTACAGAGAAAGCATCAGTCTTTCCCACTGAGTATGATGTTAGCTATAGGTTTTTCATAGATGCTCTTTACCCTCTGTGGAAGTTCTCATCTATTCCTGGTTGCTGGGAGTTTTACATTAGGAATAGACATTGGATTTTGCCAACTTCTTTTCTGTGTCTATTGAGATGATCGTATATTTTTTCTTTTTAGTTTATTAATATGGTGAATTACATTGATTTTCAACTATTAAACCAGCCTGGGTTAAATCCCACTTGATCATGACGTATAATCCTTTTCATATATTGTTGAATTTGATTTGCTAAAACTGTTTAGAATTTTTGCATCTATGTTCATGAAAGATTTTGGTCTGAAGCTTTACTTTCTTGTAATGTCCTTGCCTAGTTTTGGTTCACATAGTGTTTTTAACCCACTTTCTTCCACTGATAAACCACAAATATATTTGAATATCAATAGATGCATTTTTGCAATGTTTGGGAGCATAGCAGCATTTTGTTCTGGATGAATCATAATTTAACATAATGTTGGATGTTTGTTTCCAATTTTTTACTGTTATAAACAATACACACTTATTCTGCATAAATTTTTGCAAACACAAAAGATTTTTAGGATAAATTTCTAGAAGTGAACTGAGTGGGTCAGAAAGCTACACATTTTAAGACTTATGTATTGTAAAACTGTCCTTTAGAAAAAACATAACAATGTATATTCCTATCTGCAGAGTATAATATTATCTGTTTTTCAAAACTCTTCCTAAAACTAAATATTATTATTGTTATTTTTTAAATATTATTTTTTAAGGTAGGTCAGTAGTCCTTGCAATGGATGAAAGCCATTTCTACCACACAAACTTCTCAGCCCCATTAGTCTAAATCGGCTCTAAGTGGCTTTAAGTTACTAGAGAAGGAAAAATGTTGATAGATAGATGATGTCCTTTTAGGTAGAGAAATTACCATAATGATGAAAAATCACTAAGAGATTTGTTTTTATCCCTTAACCTACCTCTGATATGCCCTATGCCCATATCTCCAAGGCAACAGTACCGGTAACTTGCTGATGGAAAGTACTCAGTTTTCACACATGTGGTTAAAGGATAATTTTTTTCTTTTTTTCTTTTTTTTTTTACTTTCAGGATGTCAGAGCTGGAAGAGCTCTTAATAACCAA